AGACATTCTTATGCATAGGATCTTGCTTCAGTATTTTCCACGTTCACTAAAACTCCAATAAGATGAGTGGCATGGCCAGGCAAAGTGCTGACAGTAATGTTTACTCGACTCTTGGAATGGATACCAAAGAGGGTTCTACAATGTCGTTCCAGAAAGACTTTTAATAGTGAAGAAGTCAGCCGTCTTGGTTGGTTTAAGACAACTATTTACGAGTTAAAGAGATGAGCTAAGCACTTCAGCTCTAGAATTATCAGGTAAACCATATCTAAAGACAAAATGATATATCCTGGTATCATCGAGAGGAAAGACAGAGAAAAAGAAGAAGAAAAACCAAAAGTCTAGTAAAATAAATTGCAGCTCACTAAGCTATACCTAAGTTAACCAAGAACCACCCACATGCTGTTGACATTGCCAAAACTTTGGAAATGGAAACTGCTTAGAAACAAAAGGCATAGAAGCTAAGGGAAAAGGCAAAACCCAGACCCTAGGCAGACATATACAAGAGAATGAATACTCAAGTAAATGCTATTAGCCCTGGGAGATACAACATGCAGATATCATACTATTATAATGTCACTTTTATACATCTTAAGATTGTTGTGCATCTCTCTGATAATTCAAAGACATCAGAAAGTATGGGCAGCAGACAAGATCAACAAAGTTGTTTTCTGACACAAACAACTCCATCATATCACTTGAGTGTCTTAAGGTCAATAAATTTTTGTATGACACTCTATTTCTTTTTTGCTCTGTGTCTCAGAAGAAAAAAAACAACCTTAATTACAGATGAATTAGTAAGGTTTCAAGTTCAAAGTAATTAGTGAAATGGGGGGTATTCCTACATACACCTAAATAATCAGGCGTAGACATAAACTCACAATTCTCATGCCACATAGTCTTTTCTGAAGAAAGATTAAGAAAATACACTACACAGAGGAATTATCTCTGAGATGAGAGAGAGAGATTGAAAAAGAAAGGAAAAGCTGGAATTCATTAATATGTGTTTACTATATTTATTCAAGCTATACCCATATTTAGTTAATATGAATTTACTATGTTCATTCATACTGCACATGACTTACAAGGGACAGAATAAAGGAGGGGCTGGGAAATCATAGGGATGCGGCACAATCAGACAACAAATCATTCTCCACACTTTCATTTGAGCAAACACTGATGAGAAGTTCATACATGTTTTCAGAACTCCATGCTTCTTGGGTTACTGCCAGCCTCATGGAGCCATAGAACAGGTGATTTCCTCCAGAAATTCTCCAGAAAGAAGCCCTGTTTTCTTTAGTAGTGTTCCAGGTCACTCTGGAGTTCAAGACACCATGGTGACTGCCAACTCTTGCAGCTCTTTTGCAATTTAAAGATAAATTCTGAGCTGGGACTTTGCTAAATGTCTTTAAATACATTCCTGTTAGATGAATCAAATACAGCAGTGACCCTGATTCAACCAAAGAGCCTGATTTGCACACTCTCTAATATATGTTTCGTGATAGTAGCTATAGAGAATTTATGTGGTGGTATTCTTGAAGGATTTGGAGAGCAAGGGTAGTAAGATTTAGAATGAGAAATGTATCATACATAGCATGGGGGAAAGATAAATATTTTTTAAAAAATAAGTTAAGATAGGAAAGTAGACAGAAAAGATGGAAAATCTGCTTCTTGGTAGGAGACCCTTGACATGGAAGTAAGCTACAGTTTCTGACAGACAGGGCAGCCAGCAAAGCCAGAAGAAAGAAGACTAGAAGAAAACTGTTTTTGACTTAAGATAGATGATCTCTATCACGGTCAGTTGTTTTCTCTGTATGCTGGGAGATCATCTTTCTTTTTCATGCTCTTCTCTCCATTATACAGTGTCACACAATCCCTTAGCAACAGCCATTTCCCAAACAAACAACATTTTGTGTCAGATGAACAGAAAAAAATATAGTCATTCAGTATTTCACCTGAGTGACTTTTCAGAGGATAAGCATTCTAAAAAAGAATTATGGACAATTTCAGTATATCCCTTCAAGAGAAAAAAAGCAGCTCTGTGTTGAAACTTAAGCAATGGTGCCCTATAACTTCTCTTGAAATGACAGCAGGAGATAAGGCTGAGGGGTGAGAGAAAAAGCCCCTCCCCTCTCAAATCCAAGCTGAAAATATTCTCACAACTAAAAATCAGGTAAGAGCAAGGGTCTACACACCTATTATAGAAGCAGATTGACCTATGAATCCTGACATAGAGCCAATGAGAAGAGAGGTTAAGTCCTAATCACGTGTACCACTTTTCTTTCCAAATTTAGTTGCATCATCCTCTCAACCTTCTCCACTCAAGTGTCAATATCAAAGATGAAATAACGAAGATATACAATAAAAATGAAATGTCTGTGAATTCTTTTTAAGGTGTATGCTTATTTGTATTCTTCTGCATAATATATCACTTTAATTTCAGTTTGGACTTTTAATCCAAATCAACATTTTCTGACTCTACATAACACTAGATAAACACTTTTACACTAAAGGTCTTAGACTAGTTTAAAGGACCTATGTATTTGTCTGGTCAACCACTGCTAAGCCATGGGCATTCTTTCCGTACTTTGTGATCAAAACTGGGAACATATCTTTGCTGACGTCTACTCTTCTCAGCGCTATTTTTGATGGTTACGAAGGTTATGAATGGAAAGTATTTTATCAGGTTTAGAAAACCTGCTGTCATCTGTGTCACTGGCTTCCCAGAAGAGAAAATCATGGAACCTATCATATGATGACTTGTCATGGTTGGTCATACACAATATATAGAATTGACTCATGTATTTCTCATATGAAATATGTGAAGAAGTGTGGATACAGCAATAAATGCAAGTCCTGATATCCTGATTAAATAACTTCCTCAGTTCTTGTCTGAAGCTAGAAGATGCTAGATACAGCCTTAGATATGAGACATTTCATCTTTATGCAATGTTCTCATCTTATTTCCCTCTGGAAACCAATGCAAAAGGAGAGGAAAAAGTTTTCCATTGGAATGCCATAAGTTTTTTTTTTTGGAGAATCCAGACACAAATGACTGCATATCAATATGATTCCATGTATATGAAATATCCAGAACAGAAAAATTTATTGGTGCAAAACATATCAGTAGCTGCCTAGGGCCAAGGGCAGGAGGAAGGATTACCTGCAAATGGACAGAAGGGGAATTTGAAAAGTGATAGAAATGTTCCAAAATATGAGAGTAGTGATGTTTGGACAACTCTATAAATTTAATTAAAGTCATTCAATTCCAGATTTATGATGGGTGAATTTAGTGGTAAGGACATTATACCTCAATGAAGTTGCTTTAAGAAACAAAGACAGAACACTCTTAAGCTTTGGAGAAAAAGGATGTTTCAATTAGGCTTTTAATGATCCAAATATCATGGTATATGTCTGGCTAATGAGCAATGTTTAAACACAGCAAAATAGGACATTGCTTAAAATAACTGAAATTGATGCCAAGACAAGCATAAAGCACTCTGTTTACTAAGTGGTTGTTTACAAAGATTTTTAAAATTTCTTCTTTTCTGTTAATTTAGATGAAATATTTGTCCCCCCAAAGCAGAATTGGGCTTTATTAGTTTGTCAGCCCCCAAAAAAGATTAAGGTAGAACTTGTAAAAGACTTAATAGGATGGAATAAACAAGTACATGAAATGGAAAAGGTGGATTATTTCCTTTTTGTTCCTACAGAAAGATCCTAGCAAGAAAAGAACTAAAAATGAAAATGATGTAATCACAAGGTAAATTCCATGTGCTTGATATTCAACTAATCCAATTTTCTCTTCCTGGGTGCACTGGAAGATTGCAGCTCCCAGCTTCCTTTGCATTTAGGATGGAGTCAAGTCTGGCAAATATGGGCAGAAGTGAAGTGACACATGTCACTCCTAGGTGGGGCAATAAAACATACTGCACAACCACCCAAGCATGTGCATTCTGTCTCTCTCTCTCTCTCTCTCTCTCTCTCTCTCTCTCTCTCTCTCTCTCTCTCCCTCTCTTAATCTTTCTTCCCTATGGACACAGCTGGGAATGAAGAATTCCAAGGTGGTAGACCCAATATCCTTTTGAAGAGAGCTGTCCAGGAAAGCTGCCCAATTATCATTAAAACTTGCCTGAACAAGAAATAAACCTTTCTTTTGTTGAGCCATTACAATGCTGGGATTTCCTGTTATAGTCGTTAGTGTTGATTAGCCTATTATTAATTAATATTAACTAGTATAATATACTGTCACACTCAAAGCATACTTCTTCCCTTTTCTCTTTTCACCAACTAGGCCTATTCTTTCCCTCGTGCCTCTCCTTCCTATCTCTCTTCACATTCTCCTTCCTCGTTGACTCTAGTTCATGCACATTTCTGAGACAGGGGAAGAAATGCCTGTATTTCATTAGGACCATTCTTCAAGAACTAGAGTGTTTGAATGGGATAAAGTGAAAATAATGACCTGCAATTCTTCCTTCCAGAGTGTGTCTCAAGTCTTTGGTTAAAATATTGTATGATCACCAAGAGTAGCACTTTGTCCACCCTTCTAAAAATCCCCAACAGTGATAAATGCCAGGAAAGAAATGTCAGAGTTGGCAGTCACATCTGGGTCAAGAACTTTGCTATTAATATCTGAAGCTTTTGGTAGTGGAGAAGTGCATGCTGGTTGTGCTAAAGCTTTTTTTCACTCTGAGGGTTATTTCCCAAAGATAACAAATTACCATTTCAATCTGTTTTCAATTATTTCATTATCCATGTGCCCTTTCCTCCTTTTCTGCATACAGAGGACAGAAGAGAGGACCTGCCCCCATTCAGAAGTCACACCCGAGGCACATTCAGCCCTGGACCTCACCCAGGCCCCATCTCATCAGCCCCAGTTCCCCCCAACTCCACTGTCAAAATAAAAATTCAAATAAAAAACAGCTCATAAAACAGTAAACAAAATAAAGTCAGTTTTTCTTTTCTTTTTTAAAGAACAAAATGAAACTTGAGGGAAAACTTACTGGAGTTACAGTTTATCCTGATACAGTCTAGATGGGGAAAAATAAATGAAAGATGAAATTGCATCCTTCAAGGTAACAGCTGCAGACATCCAAAAACAATCAGTCCACCCTTCCGGGGACAGACACACGCAAGAAATGTGGCCATTTTATATATATACAATATGCACAAGTTTAAGGGTGGGTGTATATGTACAGTATATTGTTTAATAAAGTTGGATACATATATATATACACACACACACATATATATATATATACACATATGTATAGAGTTATATACTGGTATACATATATATCCACAATAGACACCAAGCATCTAATTTTTTCAAAAAGCCTATTCATTAACATAAAGTGTTTCAAACCTGAACTTTAAAATATTAATTTTGTTAAACTTGGAAAATTCGGCAAAATTCCCCCACCAAATGCAGGTTAAATTCTATTTCTTCCTACAGTTAATTTTCTTAAAATTTGTCTTTAAAAGTAGCATTAACACAATTTTTGTATTGATATTCCAAAGATATATCACCAGTCTGACACATTGGACCTTTTTTTTTTTTTTTTTAATCAGCCATGTGGCTTCTCAGTGCAGTATTTAACCCTTTCTCTTTTTCTAAAAACAAACTCCCTCCACCCTCTCCTAGGTCAGGCCCCAAATGCTATAGAAATTTGCATAGTCAGACTTGCCATCATCCTTAGAGGTAAGGAAAGGGTTAACACCACCTGGTCATTTCCTGTCATAAAATGGCCACTTGCAAACAACTAACCGCAAAAACACCCATCCCAGATTTTAGAGAGGTGGGGTCAGGTATAGGGTCAAAGGAGTTATATGATGGTACCACAGTGGATTGGGTTCTCTAAGGGCTACTGCGTCAAAGGTCCCAGACCAGCCCACTCACGAAATCCATCTTCGTCTTCCTGCCTGAATGCCCAGACTGAATCAAGCGCCTACAACATTCAGGAGAAGGCGAGACAGGTACGTGCGGGGGAGGTCCCAGCACCTTTGACATCCTGCCTATTTCACTCTGTGATTCTACATCTTGAGGAGAGAAAACTCCTTGGTTTTGTTTTATTTTTAAATGGGTTTTATCATTTTAAGATGGGAGACAGAAGAAAGGAGTAGCTAATTGTCCAGTGCTGGTCACTGGACAAGGTATTCCATGCCAGAGATCACAGTATCTATCACTGTATTAATCTCTGTTCGAGAGTCATAGTCAACACAGAAGTCCTTGAGTAGAAGGGAACTGGGCAGAAATGATTTGAGATATGTCTCAGGTTCATTGTTACCAAGCTGCCCATTTGATCCTAAGGTTGGTTTATGATGGTGGGAATTCCAATAAGAATTTGTTTAACGTCAGATATTAAAAGGTAGAGATCAAATGATGTTTTTTAAAGAAAGAAAAGTAGAGGAAAATATATATTTTCAAACTGTGCTCTTCTTCTTAAGGTTGACCCAATAGTTTTTACAAAACTATTTGAATTTCTCAGAGTAAACCATTTTAAGCGAGTGAGTGAAAAAGGAATGACTGGCAACCAACAGGGCAGAAGGAAATTATGTGAAATCTGGACAGGAGCAATTTATAACACCCAATTATTCTGAGGAAGGAGGAAGAGCACTTATTTGTTCACCAGAAGAACATCTCTTGAGAAAAATCTGGGTTTGGTTTCGTGCGGTTAGGTTTGTCATGTGTCGTCAACCGCAACAGAAAAGTGGGAGCAAACAGCCCTGGAGCAACTGGTACGATCACCAGACAGAGGAGGCCATGCCCCTGGTGAGGACTGAGAGAAGGGAGGGTGGGGAGGGAGGAGGGGGTAGAAGCTTCACCTATTGGCTGCACCTATCATCACCCAAAGCTGGAGAAGTGTCCCTTCCTGACAAGTTAACCAAGAGGAAACAAGTGCATGTGCATGCTTAAGAGAAAGGGAAAGAGTGGGGCTAAAGCAACAGTCTAAGAACTGCAGGCAACATCTGGTTTTCTTCCCTGGCTTCTGTGCAGCTGAGTTTATTATTAGACAAGAAACCAGCCTAGGGAGATGTGCCGGGTTGGGCTCTTCCTTCTGGGCCATCCAAAAGGTTCTATGTGAATTAAATGGTGTTTTTAACCAATGTGAAGACTTGGGGCTTTCAAGATGGCAGACCATTTGTTTACTTTAAGTCAAGATGTGGAAAACATTTTGTTACTTTACCTAAAGAACAAGTGGTATGAGGAGAAAAATTACCCCAGTCACTTCTTCATAGGCTCTGAGTAGGTAGGTAGTCTTGTTAGAAAGGATTTACATTTTCAAATTTTAAAAAAATGGACCAGGGTAATTATTTGAGAAGGTAGATATCTTTGGCAGCAGCCAAAGTTCTCTCTTTGCTTGAAAAAATTCTGCCCAAATCTTGGCATGTCTTTTGAGTTGTCTGTTTTAATTTTTTTTACTTTAGCAAATAAGGAGAAATTATTATTTTCTATATTGGTGAGTATTGGGTTGAGCATGGAAGAGGTACATGTATCTAAGTGTTGTGGGTTTTCAATAATATATACAGTAAAGAATAGTCAGCAAATTCATTTTTCCAGAGAAAGAACATGTGGAGAATTCAAATGCAATTAACTAAACTGCATGATACTCCCTCAGAGTTTCTACCATTGAAGAAGGGATCCCAACACTCTGCCAAGGATCTTAAAGGCTTGACCCAAATCAACTGACTTTTCTCCAGCATGGCTCAATTCAAACTGGGTACTAAGGAAAATGGAGATTCCCTTGGTGCATCTTTCAAAGGTGATTATCATGAAAGCAGTTAGAAGTCATTAAGACTGACACATCATTGATCCACACTGCTGATCTGTAAAGGAAACAGATAACCCCTGCTGATCTAACAGTTTAGAGATATGACTTCTAGCCCCAGTCTGCTACTGACTTTTTATATAAGCTTTGAAAAGTCATATACTTTGTTTTACATCTGTAAAAATAAGCATAAAAACGCTTTCTTGATTTATCTCACAAAATTACCATGAGATTAAAATATGGCAAAGTCTTTTAAATCTTTACATATATAGCAATAATAAAATGTTATTATATCTTGTAATTCTGAAGGATCAAAATATGGCTGGTCAATAACCAACTTCACAACTTTTTAAAATGTGCTATGTTGTAGGATATTTCTCACACCTTCTATCATCACATATGGCTCTCTGCAAAAAACAAAGCCATTGGAAAACCCTAGTCTCCTTGACATTTAGAAGATATGTAACATCAGAGAAATATATACTAAGCTTTTATAACATTAGCTTATGTGTGTGACCAGTTTGAAATGAACTAGAATATCATGTGTGCATATGCTAGAAAAAAGGCATAACTGAAACAGAGTGAGAGAACAAAGTAACTGTTGGATGTCAATATTGGTGGAGTGCACATGAAGGCAGGCCCTGCCTGCAGATGTTTTCTCTTATAACCAGGAAAAAAATGAAATATAATTTCATGGCAAAGAGAAAGAAAACATTTATGAAGGAGTATATTTGGGGGAAGGGGTAGAGGCAAAACCTTTGAACTTTGAACAAAGCATGGATACAAAGAGTTGCATATATACAATAAGCTCAAGAAATTTAAGTTCAGTTATCCATATCAGGTTTGAGAGACAGTTAAGTAAATCAAAACTGTAATTGTGGTGAGCCATATTTTTCAGAGTAAAAAGAAACAACTTTTGCATCTGGAGAAGCACAGTGCTTTCTTTGGAGGTCTAACCCTTTTGCCTAAAATGATTCAGCTCAGCAGGAGCTAGATAGATGATGTGCCAAAAGGAGCCACGAGACAAAAGTAAGGTTCATTTGAAAAGCACATCTTCCAGATTTTAACCAGAGCTTAAAATACAAAAATAGTGTTTCAAGGAATAAACATGGGATCTGTCACTATCTTGGGGTGCATGTGTGTGTAGGTGGGTGAGAGAAAGAAAAAGAGGCAGAGAGAAAGACAGAGAGCATGAGAGAGCGAGGGCGAGAGAGAACAAGAATCTGTCCATCTATGATCATCCCTTTTATCCCTCTCCCTCACTCCAGTTTTTCCTTCTGAGATGTAAGACCTGTTACAGATGACATCTTCATCTTTACAAAACAACATCTAATAGGGGAAAAAAATCTGTTTAAAGACATAGTGTGTACTCCCTCAGGCTCCAATGGGGACTGAATCATCCTCATTCGTATGTTTCTCTCTTAAACTTTGAAATAGATCCAGAGATTAAAATGGTCTTATCTTCTTTTTTAGTGAACTAGTTAGGGAATTGTGTGGGGTGTTTTTTTGTTTTTTGGTTTTTTTAATTCCTCTGTTGTTTTTGTGAGGAGTAGACAATAGCTACTGGTTGTTGGTTTTAGACAATAGGCTCTTATACTAGTTTAAGGTAGGGAGGATGGTGGAGGGAGGGAAGGTGGAAGGGACAGGGGTATGCCAGTCCCTGTAGGTTGCTCAGTACTCTCTGTTCTCAAGGCTGTTTGCTATGCGGGCCGCAGGCTTTGGGCCTTTGAAGGGTTGAATACCATCTTTTGATTTACCATGGTTGATGGTGGGGAGAACTGAAAACTGAAGAACACAAAAAAAGACCCAGCAGAAGAGAAAAACAAAACCTAAAACAACCAAACACACACATACACACAAAAAAGAATAACCAAGAGACACATCGACAACAGAAATCAAATGAGACTGGACAAGAGAAAGGGCATAGTGTTGTAAAAGCTGCAAACTAGAAGAAAAAAAAAGACATAACTAAATAAGCCACTCTCAAAACAGTCCTCTGTGCCCTAAATATTTTAGGATTATGGTGCAGACATTTTCCAAGTGTGACCAGTTGACTTGACACTGGATCAGATGGGTATGGATTCAAAATCCCACCTTTCCACTGGGACACCTAGGGCTACATATAATTTGCATCTGGTAGACTTGTCTGTCATGTCTTCTCCATGCTTCTGACAAGCCATTCCACCGGAATCTTTATAGAGGATTATTGTGTCCAAATGTATTCTACATACCCAAATAAATCCATTAGCTTAGAAAGTTTGGACTCAGTTGTATCAATAATCCTATCAACTCTGGGCATTGACTTTCTACTGCAGAGAAGCAGCAGAAATAAAGGTTGTTTTCTTTCTCTTTCCAAAAACCAAGAAGCCCCCATTCTCCATAGAAGATCAATTAGAGTCCAGTAAAGAAGGTCAACAGCAGAAGTGAGTATGAGGCCATAAGAGAGAACACTTCCAATGTATCTGGTATAGGCAATTACAGTGAAAGAATAGACACTGTTCCAATAAAACGACAAATTTGAAAATTGTCATAGCTTTTCAATTCTAAGGTAAAATGTGTATGTATAAGTGAGAAAAGGGGAGCAGTTGGTGAGGCAAGCATTTTTGCACAAAGCAATGCTAAGTAAAGGTAAAGAATGACAGGAAGAAAAATGGGTACTTATGCCAGAAGTCACATTTTCCTTCCACATGTCAGAGACTCTAAACTTAGGGGATTAGTTTTCCAGTGGGACAACATAAACATTTTGATTTATTCTCTTACTAGGAGGAAGGGCAAGGAGATATCAGCATTATCAAGGCCACCAAAATCCCCCATTTGAACAGTCATTGAGGCACTAGAAAAAATGCACTTGTCAGTCTACTCACATACTCTAGTTCTTTATAATCCCACACTTCCATTTTGCCTCCACTTCCTGTTTGTCCCTGCCCTCAGCTTTGACTGTTTTGAGTGGTGACTGAGGTGCTGGACTCAATGGGAATATGATTGATCAAAAGATGGACCAAAGTAGCGTGTTTTACACAAAGCTAAACAATTCCAAAAAAACCAAGAAAGGAAACTTAGAAAACAAATAATCTAGTAAAGAAATCACCACTGTCAGAAACCAGAAATTGACATCAAAACCTCATGCAGAAACAAGAAGAACATGTTTGTTGTTGTTGGGTTTTATCCTTGATCTATTAAACAAGAGGTGAGCAGCTAACTTTCAAGAAACAAACAAAGAATTCGATCAAACCAATGAAAATCAGAAAAGAAAGGGAAGACAAGCCCAGAGTGGCAGAGGGTACTTCATACGATACCTAAGTTAACCATGAGCTTGACTCGCCCCCCATCGAGCTCCAGACGTAGGGTGTCGGCAGAGTCCCTGGAGGTAGTAGCCACCAGCAGCCCATAAGCCCGCTGGGACATGAAGCGGAAGGACACATCCTCTGCCTCAGTGTGCATGACCATAGGCATGATGATCTTCATGTACATGCTGCCATCATAGCTCAGGATAGACGCCTCTGCCAAAAAAAAGAACGGAGGGGGTCATTAGGATGAAAGATATTAGAGATGCCAAATATCCCATTGCTTTCAGGCTTAGTAGAGAGGGCATCCCATCTGTAGCCTGGTGACTTGTGTTCGTTCAACCCCCATAGTCATTTAATCCTTTTGGACTTTGTGACTTTGGACTGACCACCTAAACTCATTTGTAAAGGACATATTGTAGCACTGGAACCTATCTGATAATGCTCACAGACTTGTCAAGGGTACCAAATTAGATAATGGATGTGAGGATATTTAGCAAAAGTGAAAATGTTTCCACAGACAATAGTATTTGCAATTCTGTATGTGATAAATAAAATACAAGTACACAAATCTTAGAATCTTTGTATTTCATAAGAAATAGGAGCGCAGCAGTTTATAAACAACACACAGACAAATAGATGTCTGCCAGAAAGCTTCTAGAAGAAGGAAAAAGCAGCAGCACAGCCTGTCATCATAACATCCCCAGTGGCCAGACACTGTGAAAGTTTACTTAGCCCTTTCAAAGACTGATAGAACCACGGCTAGAAAACAACGACAAAATGTTCATGATACCACTGAAAACCTCATTTTATTTTTATTCAAAAAAGGAAGGGAAAAAAGTCTTTATTTGGGCAACGCCCTCGGGTCCCCTCCCACTATGCAAGCTTTTCTGTCCTCTCAATAAATCCTGCTTTCTAAAAAAAGAAAAGAAAAGAAAAAGAAAAATATCTTTATTTGATACTTTCCTCTGCCTAAACACTTTGGCAAGGAGCTCCCCACCCTGCCATGTTATTTCATTTAATGCTACAATGCATGTCTATTATTCCTACTTTCAAACAAGAAAACCAAGGCTCTTAGAGGGGATATTATCATCCCAAAGTCACACAACCTGGATTTTGACCCAGCATATTCTATACCAAGTCCAGCAACTGTTTTTGCAATACTATGATGCTCAACATGTAAATTTGTTAATCATTCATTGGGCAAATATTTTCTGAAAACACAGGAAGAGAATATCATCCATATTCCTATGAAGCCAACCTGTCACTGTGTTCAGTATCTGGCACTGAGTGGGTCTTCATTAAATATTTGCTGATGTCAAGTATTTGCTACCTCCTAGCACTGTGGAGAATACAAACAGGAAACAGACAAGGTTCCTATTTGTAGGCAGACACAGCATGCACAAACAACTGTACTAGAACATTAAAATGGTTGAACAACACAGGAAAAATATACAGAGTCAGTGGCATTCAGAGGAGAGAGGCTGAGAAATGCAGGTGAGTAAGGTAGGCTGTGGAGAGTTTGAGCTGGTCCTGGTAGTGGGTGGGGTTTCTAATGAAAGAAGTGATGGCGCCAGAAGTGACAGATAGATCAGATAACATCTCAATAGACATAAAGGAAAGAAAGAAGGGAATGCTCAGACAATAACGAACTATTCGGTTTTATAGAGGATCAGACATATGTTTTGGGAAAGAGATATAAAGGTTGTTTGAGATTAGAATAAAATCAAGGACCTTGGGCAGAGGCTGCAAAGTAAGCGAATGATCTTAGATTACAAGGTACTCTGGTACATTTCTTTGTCCTTACTGGGTGTCAGACACTACTCCAGGTTTTAAGGACATAACAGCGAACAAAAGAAACCAACATCCCTGCCCTCATATACAAAAGGAATTAAATCAGGGAAGAACAAGATACAAGCAGACTACATGTAGGGGTCTCAAAATACTCTGTCATCATCATACCCCAGCCTATTTGCATAACATACAAAAGATCCATGAAAAGTAATATAAACACACCCTCTTAATATTCTTGGAAAGTAACCATCTCCAAGATAAAACCCATGACACACTGATAACTGGATATTACAATCTGCAAACACTAAGTGGATCGCAGATAAAAGTGTAACAGGTGCAGACACCATCACAGTAAAAGACATACTATGAAGATCTGTTCTTAGATAGGAAACATAATCTAAATTTAACACATGCTCCAGATGTGAAAGAAATCCATATGTGAGAGAAATCTCCTGGAAGAGCAGAATCAAAAGATCAATAACGAAAGCCAAAATTTATTGAGCACTTAGTATTTGCCTGGTGCTTTCTAGAACTTCGTAAGCATGGAGAAGTCATTTAATCTTCAACATGAGAAAGACAATATTATATTTTCTAAATACCAGGTCACATGGCTAATAAATGGAAGAGCTGAGAAAGCAGCTCTTAAAAGCAGGCAGACTGATTTTTCTCATTTGTATACTTAACAATTCTGCCATATTATATTTGTATACTTAACAATTCTGCCATGTTATCAGAGAGCTATACCAGAAGCACACTCATGTTTCCAAGTGTCAAAGCATGTCTATAGTGCTTCCTGGCAGAGTGTAATGTTCTTGTGCATTTGTATTAATATGCACACACACACACACACACACCATTAAAGTCATATACTTTTTATAAATATACAAAATTACATACACAGAAATAATACATGTATTTCTAAACAATATATTGCTCTATGGATGTGCAATGCTCTGTATGTTTGTGCAATTATATACACAACTAATCATCGGTATGCACCTTCTCCTATATACAAACATACCTCTCTTTATTAGGATATTAAGTAAGCCATAAAATGGTTGCTTTGATGTACTCAACTTCAATACATTCCAAAATTAATGGCTACTTTTGTCCCTCTGGATAAGTGCAATGCCAAAAAATACATATAAATGAGTGCCTCTTTATATTAATATTGCTAGTATCAGAGAATAAATATCAGGTGAGTATGTAGCTAAACAATTATACCAAAAAACGTATATATCTCAATGTATATCTTTATGTGCTTCTCTGTGTGTCCTATTATTAACTTAACATTTTTAAGGGAAGGATCATGAAGCAGAAAATTTAATACAGAAATAAACTGAAACAAAATCTGTTACGTGGATTTATATTAATTTGCTTAAAAGATCCAAACACAAGGTATGCTGTGAATAGAATATTAATTTTAGGGAGAAAATAAACCTAATAAGGAAAAGTTAATCAGTCTGAAATCTATCAGATTCTTGAGTGTTGAGAAACTGCATCATGGGATGGCCACATGATGTTACTTTAAATAGTTCCCCTATCTCCTTCCTCTTTTTCTCCTTTGCTATTATACTATATTTTGTCATAGGTGAATAGTTTCAAGGACACTATCTTAATTAATTTAATAATTATAACTATATTTTGATGCTTCTTTCTTACTGGTTGCTCTAGGACTTATAATACACACTTAATTTACCTGAATCTACTTCATTTTTATACTAACTTAACTCCAGCAAAATATGGAAACTTTACTTTTACATAACTCTCTTCTCCTTATTTTATGCTATTATTCATATTATGTCTGCATATATTACAAATTTGACAATATATTGCTTTAAGGATTGATTTATAAAAACTTTTCTTTTTTGAGAAACTAAGAGAAGGAACTCAAATATATTTATAAAATGGTTTTAATTAAGCTTTTTATTTACAATCTATGACTCTCTTCATTTCTTCCTGTGAATTTAATCACCATCTGTGTCATTTTCTTTTTCCAATATAACTTCGTTCATTTGTGTTTTATTATCAAATATATCATGTTCCTATATGTTATAGGCACAATACAATTTTCTAGATATTGTTTTATGTAATTGCTTTTAAAATCAGTTAAAAAAATGTGTAATTATACTGTCTTTTATCATTACGTACATAATTACCTTTACTGAAATGCTTGTTTTTTTTGTTTTGTTTTTGTTTTTGTTTTTGTTTTTTGGTTGGAGTCTCACTCCATCACCCAGACTGAAGTGCAGTGGCATGCTCACGGCCACCCCAGTGTCAACCTGCTGGGCTCAGGCCATCCTTCCACCTTAGCCTTCCAAACTTTTTTTTATCATGTAAATTCAAATTACTGTCTGCTTTTAATTCCTTACAGCATGAAGAAGGCTTTTTTAGTAGTTCTTATAAGGTGAATAAGCTAGTAATGAATTCGCTGTTTGTATTTCTCTGGGAATGTCTTTATTTCACTTTCATTTCTGAAGGACAGAATTGTTGGATATGAGATTCTGAATTGAAAGTTATTTTTCTTTCAGACCTTTGAGTGCATCCCACTGCCTTTGGCTTCCATTATTTCTGAAATGATGTCAGCTGTTAATCTTATTGGAGTTTCCTTGTATATGTTGAATCATTTTTTTCCACTTGCTGTTTTCAAGATTTTCTCTTTAGCTTTGCTTTCATAATTTGTATTATAATGAGACTGGATGTGGATCTCTTTGCATTTATCCAGCATAGAATCTTGAATGGGTAGATTAGTGTTTTTCATCAAATTTGGGAATTGTCAACTATAATTCTTGAATATTTTTTCAGTCATTTTCTCTCTCTCTCTCTTTTGGTTACATATTACACATATGTCAATATACTTAATGATGTCCCACATTTCTCTGAGACTTTGTTCATTTGTCTCTGTTGTATTTTATTTATTTTATTCAGATTGAATAATCTCTATTTATCCATCTTCAAGTTTGCTGATTCTTTTTTCTGCCAACTCTCATCCACTTTTGAGTCTCTCTAGTAAAATTGTTATTTAGGTTATTATACTTTTCAACTCCAGAACTTTCATTTGAAGATAGATAAATATCTGCCTATGTATAATTTATTTATTAATATCCTTTGATACATTATTATCTCATTTTAAAAATTATTGAGCACTGCACTCCAGCCTGGGTGACAGACTGAGACTCTGACTCAAAAAAATTATTGAAGCATAGTTTTCCTTAGCTCTTGAAACACATTTATAGTAGCTACTTTGTAGTCTTTGTTAAATCTGATATCATAAATTTCATGTATGGGCAACCTCAAAGGCAGTTTCTATTGCCTGCATTTATTCCTATGAGTGGTTTGTACTTCCTGTTTTTGCTTATCTCATACATTTTTGTTGAAAACTGCACATTTTAGATAATATATTATAGCAAATCTGGATACTG